CTGTTTAAGATTCCCTCTTTTAAAAAAAAAAAAAAATTAATTTTCTATCTCCCTATTTACTTAACTATCAAAATTTCTCTACACTTTTATTGTCCCTCAAAATTTCTCTACATTTCTATTTCCTTTCAATGGGTGTGTTTGGTTCGCACATGGGAATCATATTCAGAATGGGAATCAAATACTTGGTAATGGTAATGTGTTTTGGTGAAAGCATTTTGCATGTTTGTTACTAGGGTGGAATTGGAATGATTACCAATATTCCTGTTTAGTTATGTATGAACCTGGCGAGTGGCGTGTGCAGGCACACACCAATGGGCTCCTGCACGTGCCACTTTGATGAACCATCCGTTCTTTTCTAAAGTATATATATTATTTATCCTTAACGGTCAATATGACTGTTGAGCAACACCATATTGATCGTTGAGAATGGTCATACACACTGTTGAGGAGAAAAAAAAAATTAAGTCTACAATTGAAAGGAGCAACAAAGATTATATCACTATAATTCCAGGGTCAAAATATCATTTTCTTTTCTTAAATTTATTAAACATGTGTTCTCGAAATTGTCTTGTGGCATTTCCAATCCAATATGGGAAAAAATTGTGGAGATCAGAATGATTGGGGGAGGGAGATTAAATCTCCTAGGCGAGTGGCATGTGCAGGCACGCACCAATTGGTTTTGCACATGCCAGTTTGACGAACCGTCATCATTTTTGTTAACTTATTCTCAACGGTCAATATGACGTTGAGCAACGTCATATTGATCGTTGAGAACGATCAGTAATCAACGGTCATACTGACCATTGAGGAGGAGTTCAACGGGATTGACCGTTTAAGATTCCTTTAAAAAAAAAAAAAAATCTATCTCCCTATTTACTTAACTCTCAAAATTTCTCTACACTTTTATTTTCCCTCAAAATTTCTCTACATTTCTATTTCATTTCAATGGGTGTGTTTGGTTCGCACATGTGAATCATAATCAGAATGGGAATCAAATACTTGGTAATGGTAATGTGTTTTGGTGAAAGCATTTTGCATGTTTGTTACTAGGGTGGAATTAGAATGATTACCAATATTGTTATTTGGTTATGTATGACCCTGAGCGAGTGGCGTGTGCAGGCACACACCAATGGGCTCCTGCACATGCCTCTTTGATGAACCATCAGTTCTTTTTTAAAGTATATATATTATTTATCCTCAACGATCAATATGACTGTTGAGCAACACCATATTGATCGTTGAGAATGGTTATACACACTGTTGAGGAAAAAAAAATTAAGTCTACAATTGAAAGGAGCAACAAAGATTATATCACTATAATTCAAGGGTCAAAATATCATTTTCTTTTCTTAAATTTATTAAACATGTGTTCTTGAAATTGGCTTGTGGCATTTCTGATCCAATGTGGGAAAAAAAGAGTGGAGATCAGAAGGATTGGGGGAGGGAGATTAAATCTCCTAGGCGAGTGGCATCTGTAGGCACGCACAATGGGTTCTTGCACATGCCACTTTGATGAACTGTTAGCGTTTTTTTAAAAAAAAAAAAAAAACTTATTCTCAACGGTCAATATGACATTGAGCAACGTCATATTGATCGTTGAGAATGATCAGTAAGCAACGGTCGTATTGACCCCGTTGAGGAGGAGTTCAACGGTCAATTGGCCGTTTAAGATTCCTTTTTTTAAAAAAATTAAATTAAATTTCTTACCCCAAAAAATTAAATTAAATTTCTATCTCCCTATTTACTTAACTCTCAAAATTTCTATACACTTTTATTTTCCCTCAAAATTTCTCTACATTTCTATTTCCTTTCAATGGGAGTGTTGGTTTGCACATGGAATCAAAATCGGAATGGGAATCAAATACTTGGTAATGGTAATGGGTTTTGGTGAAAGCATTTTGCATGTTTGGTACTATGGTGGGATTTTAATGATTACCAATATTGCTGTTTGGTTATGTATGACTCTATAATGGGGATAAAGGTTTTAAAAATACAATAACGAAAAATCAAGACAATTTATTATAATATAAAGACATATAAAGCACCAATATGAACAAAAATAAAAAATAAAAATAAAAATATAAAAGCATTAATCCAAACTAATTAAAAATCAAATTACCAATTAGGAGGGGGAATAATGGATTGGAACCCTTATTTTATTAGGAGTGAGTTTTGTAATTAAGGGGGTAATCAAATCTCATAGTAGTGTTCTAGAAACCTGTCAACCAAACAATAACAATGATTTTTATTCTCATTCCTAATAGCTAAACTCATGAACCAAACACACTCAATATGTCTTCAATATAATTATTGTATAAAGATACTTCACAAATAAAGGAAGAAGACCACATAAAGGTTTGTGACTATATCATGAAGAAGATCGATATTTTAATTTCACAATCAATTTTATGTATTTTTCATTTTTATTTATGTTTTCGTCTTTTAATTGAATGTGATTTTATTTGTTTCAATTAAATAATTCATAAAATTTTAATTTGAAAATTATGTATGTATTTTTTTTTTAAAAAAAAAACTTATTTGGATTTAAAATTAAATTTAAAATTATAATTATAGAAAAGGGAATAAAGTAATAAATGATGTGGAGTGGTAGAGCACATAAAATGATAAAATGGTGTATGTGAAAAGGGAGAATGATTGGAGAGAAATCCTTTTCCTACTTTAATTTCTTTATTGCTAAAATCCAAACGGAAAGGGAATCGGAAAAACAAAAATTCTTTATTGAACTTCAATTAACGCTTATTTAAATTCAACTCTTTAATTAAACTTCATTCTTTAAAAGAAAGATTCATTCTTTAAAAGAAAATGTTTTAAGTCGACAAATTACTTAAACCTTTTAAATTAATTGGTTATCTATAACTCAATGGGTGGAGAATATAGTAATTTTGGAATAATTATAGCTTAGTTAGCCATACTTACAGTTAACTCAATAATAACAATGCACGTTCTAAGTTCCACTCTCTATGAACTGTTTATTGACCTTCTCAGTTTGAACCAATCAGCTATGAGCAATGCACATTTGGATAGGTGGCAGACTTTCATGCATATCAAAAAATATAGTAATTTTATACTACTACATTATATAAAGATAAGTTTACATTGAGGCACATAGAATGATTAATGAATACAAATGAAAAAAAAAAGATAATAATAATAAAATAGCGTAAAAGGTTGTCTCTTTGTCATTTGAAAACAGCGGAAATCCGGGAATTAAAGGCTGGAAGTAAATAGCATAAAGACAGTGGAAAAGAGAAGAAAAGGATGCAATTGACGATGGACTAACAGAAAGCTCGCAAAAAATCTTCCCCCACATCGTATGGATCGAAGGCCATCTGTTTTCATTTCCTTATTATGTTCTCTTAATCCCTCCCTCCTTTAATTTTCACCACAACTAATTTAATTTTAATTTAATTTGTTGGAGTGGCAACAACACTTGTCTATGTTTCACACTCCAAATGGCTTCCCACATTTGATTCTTTACAAACTTTTCACTCCTTCATTTATGTGCTTCATCGAATTTAACCATGTTATTCCATTGAGAAAAACTTTATTGGGTTGATAATAAAAGTTTTGACGACGAGAACATAGTTTTCTCTTACCGTTAAGCGGTTTGGCATATATATGTTAACGTGGTATTTATTTTTTTGAATTGAAACGCGATGACTTTATCGAGTTATGATTAAAATTTTGACATATGAGAACGTGATATTTTATTACATAAAACGGTTTGGCACGTGAGAACACGATATTTCCTATCATATAAATCGATTGGGCACATACATGAGAATATAGTGTTTTCCTCTATCATGAACTAATTAACAAATACTCTATATGGGTACTAAGACAGCTAAATTGGTCGACTAACCCAAAAAAATTAATAGTTTTGTTTTACGGGCAACTTCAGGGTGCAAGTATAGTGCATGGTTCGATTCCTACTAAAACGAGAATATGTCCTCGTCAGGCATGGTATAGGATTCGATTCCTACCAAGAAGAGAATATGTAACCTAGGGGCCGAGTATGGTTGAGTAGAATGGACTCATTTATCCTTAACCAAAGTTGTCAAGGGTTCGATTCTTGACATTGGGTATAGAGCAACCTTAAATCTCCAGGCTAGTTGTCCACTCAATAGAAGTGCCTACAATCCAGCAAGGAATAAGTCACTGTGTCCAACTATGAAAACATTGAACTACACCAAAAAAAAAAAAAAAAAAAAAAAAAGCAAATTATAAACGTAATTATCTATTGAAACACATCTAACAATTTATCTAATGTTTGGGATTAATTGAGTGCAATCATCTAGCAAATACTATATCTTGGTTGATTTTGAATAACAACACACTCAACCACAAACCGTTGGTGGCTAGCTAGTTATCATAAATATATACATATTATATAGATTAGGCATCTGGCCGGCAATACATTCACCGTCATAATAATCATTTTTGCTACCAACTGCAAAATGGATGACTATAATGATGTCATTAGCATTGAAATTTGCGATTAAATTTAATTTCCACAGCATCGTCTGAATAGGATTCTAAGTGGAAAAATTGTGGTTAGTAATACATATAATCTCAAACTTTATTGGATCACTCAAATTTATTCTTTGATGTAGTAGGCACTGATATGTTATTTTTTTCATGTGGACCTCTGTTAATGTGTCTACATAAAAAAATTTTAAAAATGTGAGTAAAAATTAGAAATAGAGAATGAGAGTACATATAGTAGTTTTGATAAAGAAAAAATGAGACATCATGTCACTAAAACAAATGTCTTAAGTATTTGGCAAATTGTAGCCGAGAGACTTGATGTGTATGTGATTATAAATTTTATTTTTTAAAACAATTGATTAAGATTCAAGTCTGATCGATTTTCGGCGGAGATAACTGGGTATACAAACATAATTATTATATAATAAGAAGCTAGTTTCATTACATATATTGATATATATTATATTACATTGATAGATGGTCATAGATGATCATATGGGTAATTAAGATAACATCCACACATATAATTATATTATACATACACACACATTAAGCAAATTAAATATAGCTTACAAGTCTGCTAATTGCAACATAAAACACCATTAATTAGTAATTAAGATAGTAATTAGAACATTTGGCGCGGGGTTTTGGTGCAGCAGCTTCCATAGCCATGGGGGCAGCGAGAAGAAGAAGCTGCAGACACCAAGTCCATCAAATCCATATCCATTGCGGCGGCGGTGGCGGAGGAAGACCAGCGGTTCAAGGGTGGGGCTCCACAGTGAGAAGCGGCGGCGCTGCCATACCCGGCGCCGGAGTTTGTGTTGTTAGCGGCGGGAGCTTGTGGAGTTGAGGAGTTGATTTGATCAGCACCGCCCATTTCGTATAAGTTTGGATCGGACGCCAGATAGGTGCTCCAGCTGTCCTCCTCCGGCACGCTGTCTACTTCATTAGTCCTCCACCCAAACGCGGCGAATTCGGCGGTGTTATTGCTCCGGGAGCCATTGTTAGCCGCCGTCGGCGACGTCGAGGATGACGACGAGTTACCGAACAGTTTCTGCATGAAGTTCACCTCATCGTCGTACGTCTCCGTCAAGATCGACGGAGAATCGCGGCTGTCTTGCTCATCGCCCGCCGCAGCTGCCGCTGCTGCCGCTGCCGGCGGCAGCGGCTGCGGCGGCGGAATGTCGACGTTAACCTGTTGTTGGATTGAAGGTTGCTCTGGAACGAGCGAACTTCCGGGCTGGCCGAGGCTGAGGCCACTGAAGTACTTAAACTTTATATAGTTCTCAAGAACCACCGATCTCCTCCTCCCGCCGGCGCGGCTGCTCCCGGCGTCCTGCAACGACGACGACCTCATTCTCCTCTTGGAGAACTGCCGTCTCTTGGTGGCGTTCCAGTGGTTCTTGATCGAGTTCTCCGACCGGCCGGGAATCCGCTTCGCGATCTCCGACCACCGGTTTCCCAGCTGCTCATGCACTTGCACCAACAGCCTCTCGTCTCTCTCACTCCACGATTCCTTCTGCAAAAAGACGATCAAAATCAGGCGAAAAGCAGATATCTTTAATTAAACACTAAAAAAAGAAATAATTTTTATTTAAGGAAAAAAATACATTGAATGGTGAAGAAATTTAGAGTAATTAATGAAAAAAAAAATTTAATGAATGGATTTCTGAAATCTCCATTCTTAGGAGTGATTGATGAAATCTATATGAAATTCATCAGATTAAGGCTTGTGTTTTGGATAAATAAAGCATAAATTATCGAAATTAAAGGACAAAAAACTAGGTTTCAGACAAAACCTTAATATCAGGACGAAGGTGGTTATGCCACCTCTCTCTGCACTGTTTTCCGGCACGGCCGACAATCTTGGTGGCGATCACACTCCATCGCCTATCTCCGTGCTCGTTCACCAACCTAATCAGAAGCCTTCACACATGTCGAATGGTTGAGTGAAACCTCGATCATCGTAAAAAAAATAAAATAAAACAAAACAAAAATTATTGACTGATGACGTGATCAGTTGTTTATCACTTACCTATCTTCTTCTTCAGTCCACTGGCCCTTGATGAAGGCGACGCCATTAGAGGAGCGGCGCTCATCATGTCCTTTCTCTCTCCTTGTTTCTTCAGGACTGCCAGCGGCGCTCATCATCTCCGGGTTCTGGTTACCCCAGCTCGCCGGCGGCGGCGCCACCAGTCCGTGGGGAAAGCTGCCACGGCTCCCCCCAAAGTTCACGTTCTGGAGATGACTCAGCCAAGACGCTGTCGCGGCATCGGCCGCCGGCAGCAGGCTGTTAGTACTGCTTGCGCTGCCATGGAACGAAGAAGAACCAAATCTCTCAGGGAAGGGAAGAATCTCTTGATGATTGTATCTTCGGTGAACAATCACCGGTGGGAAAGGTGGGAGGATGGGGTTCGGGAAGTTGACGGAAAACGACCGGTAACCACCACCACCACCACTGCCGTCCATGGAAGAGCTAGAGGGAGAAAGATGGATGGTTTTGATGGGAAAAAGGGAAAAACAAAAGATTGACTAACAAAGGTAACTTAATTAGCGTATACAAGTAGGAATTGGTAGTGAGTAGCGAACGTCGAATTATCATCTATATATAGGAGCTGTGAGTGAGACTGAAGATGCTATCCAACGGTTCAGATTTAATCAAAAGTGGGACTATAAGAATATGTATATGAGTAATACCACACGTATTCTCATCTTTCTTGGTACTAATCTTTGACATGTCCTGACTGATTTATAAAGGATACAGTTTTCATTCATTTTCTTTTATTTCTCCAATCCCAATACCAAGAAAGTTTTACTTACATATATGTAAATAGTTGTGGAATACATATATATACAGCTTCATCTTAAGTCGGTAACTACATTAGTTATTAGAAGATTAGGCTCTATTTCGTAAATGGTTGTTAGCTAATAGCTGATTGAATTAACTAGAGCTTATAACTAGTTGAGAACATTAGTTGATTGTAGAAAGGTGTTTGGTAAATTAGTTGTTAGCTGATAGTTGTTTGATATAATTTCCTTTCTCAAAAAACTAATTTAAAAAGTTGATTTGAACAGCTTTTTGAATTTTACCATTTTGGAGTAATTACAAAAAGCTAATTAACCAAACACTTATATTGATTTTTTAACCAAATAAGATGGCATGTAATGACTTCTCCTATGTGGGAGTCATGTAATAGTGACTTTTTGTTACTATAATCTAATAGAGTCAGTAGCATTCGAAAAAAAAAAAATGATTAAATAAGTCAAAATTGATCTATATATAAGTTATTATTTTACCAAACAGGGCCAAATAAGGCATGAGCTGGTTAACAAATTACTAGAGTAGTACAAGTTTTTAACAGATAAGCTAAGGGAATAGATATACTTGTCAACTAATTAATTACAGGTGTAAACACGAAATTTGGAATTTGTTTATATATAACACAAAAATTCGAAAACTTGGGTAATAATGAGTATCGTTAAAAATGGTTTGGTTCTCAAAGAAGTGTCTACTATTTGTTGAAGGATTTCTGAACTCAAATGGTTTGATATTCAGTAGAAAGTCTAATCTTCAATGTGTGATTTATGATATAAAATGAAGCCTCTATGTATAGTGGTAATGAGACAATACTAAATATTATAAAAAATGAACTATGTCATTATTATGTCTATGATGATCTTATCACAACTATAATATTTAATTTTTTTTTTTTTTTGCTAAAATCGTCTCTTGACTATGTCATAATTCACAAATTAGTCTTCCGCAAGTTGAATTAGATGATCCAAATGAGTAAACATTGAATACTTGAGGATTTAATTTGATAAAATTATTAGTTGATGACTAATTTCTGAATTATGACATAGTCGAAAAACAATTTTCGTAATTTATTCTATTTAAAATTAAAACATATAATTTGACTAAATCTTTATCAAATAATTAAATTAATTAGACAAATAGCATGCATATCCTAAATTAATTGATGTATACGCTCAAATAATTCAATTTAAATGTGGTCCTATACTATTAGCCCAATTAGTTCTATCAAATTTTCAATGTCAAATCATAGTTCAAGACACATACACATGTTATATTTATTTATTTTTCAAATTTGATTTATGCACATAATTTGTGTTCATAGGCACAAAATTTACAACACAAGACACTAAAATTCATAACATAAGACACAATTGCTAATTTGTTATTGGTACAGAATTCATACATTTAAGATACAAAATTTCATAACTCAAGACACAAAAAGTTACAACACAAAACACATACACATGAACCAGACTCTATAGTGATGTGTGAACCTTGGTCCATGGTAATTGTGAATTGTGTCAATGGATAGTTGATAGGGATATTGATCACCAACAATATATAGGGACTTTACATACTAGTATAGAGTTTGGGCCTTTGGACTCCATAGATTGGCAATCATTATTGTGTGGACGATGGTCCACACAAGTTGTGTGAATCATATTTTGTATATTGTAAAATAAGTTGACGGAAAATGGTCAGTAACCACCACCACCACTGTCGCCATCCATGGAAGAGCTAGAGGGAGAAAGATGGATGGTTTTGATGGGAAAAAGGGTAAAACAAAGGATTGACTAACAAAGGTAGCTTAATTAGCGTATACAAGTAGAAATTGATAGTGAGTAGGGACGACGAACTATCCTCTATATATAGGAGTGGTGAGTGACACTGTCCGGAGAGATGCTATCCAACGGTCCAGATTGAATCAAAAGTGGGGACATAAGAATATGTATATGAATAAGACCACACGTAGTCTCATCTTTGCTCGTACTAATCTTTGACATGTCCTGACTAATTTATAAAGGATACAGTTTTCATTCATTTTCTTTTCTTTCTTCAATCCCAATAACATGAAAGTTTTACTTATGCATATGTAAATAATTGTGGAATACATATATATACAGCTTCATCTTAGATCGGAAAGTACATTAGTTATTAAAAGATTAGGCCTTATTTAGTAAATGAATATTAGCTGATAGTTGATAGTTGATTGGGTTAATTAGAGGGTATAACTAGTTGATAATATTATTGTAGAAAAATGTTTGGTAAATTAACTGTTAATAACTGTTTGGTATAATTTTCTTTCTAAAAAAACTAATTGAAAAAGTTGATTTGAGTAGATTTTTAAATTTTAATATTTTGGAGTTACAAAAAGCTAATTAACCAAACATTTATATTGACTTTTTAACCAAATCAAAAAATGAATAGTGGTCAAATAAGTCAAAATTAATCTATAAGCTAATTATTTTATCAAACCTAGCCAGTTAAAGCAATACTTGGGTTAACAAATTACTAGAGTACTACAAGTTTTTAACAGCTAAGCTAAGGGAATAGACATACTCGTCAACTAATTAATTACAGGTGTAAACACGGAATTTGGAATTTGTATATATATAACAAAAAAAAATCAAAAAATTGGGTTACAATGAATATCGTTAAAAATGGTTTGATTCTCAACAAGTGTCTACTCATCGGGTCTTTGAATTCAAATGGTTTAATTTCCAGTAGAAAGTCTAATCTTCAATGTGTGATTTATGATATGATATGAAGCCTCTATGTATAGTGGTAATGAGATAATACTAAGAATTATAAAAAATGAACTATGTCATTATTATGTCTATGATGATCTTATCATAATTATAATATTTTAAAAAAAATTGTCAAAATCGTCTCTTGACTATGTCATAATTCACAAATTAGTCTTTCGCAAGTTGAATTTGATGACCCAAATGAGTAAACAATGAATACTTGAGGATTTAATTTGATAAAATTATTAATTGATGATTAATTTGTGAATTATGGCATAGTAGAGAGATGATTGTGGTAATTTATCTTATTTAAAATTAAAACATATAATTTGACAAAATCTTTATCAAGTAATTAAATTGATTAGACAAATATCATGCATATCCTAAATTAATTGAGTACAAGCTCAAATAACTCAATTAAAATGTGGTCCAATATTATTATCCCAATTAGTTCTGTCAAATTTTCTTTGGTGAACAATCACCGGTGGGAAATGTGGGAGGATGGATTTTGGAAGTTGACGGAAAACGGCCGGTAACCACCACCACCATCGCCGCTGTCCATGGAAGAGCTAGAGGGAGAAAGATGGATGGTTGTGATGGGAAAATGGGAAAACAAAGGATTGACTAACAAAGGTAGCTTAATTAGCATATACAAGTAAGAAATGGTAGTGAGTAGTGACGACGAACTATCCTCTATATATAGGAGCGTTGAGTGACACTATCCGGAGAGATGCTATTCAACAGTCCAGATTGAATCAAAAGTGGAGCCATAAGAATATGTATATGAGTAATACCACACGTAGACGAGATTGAAAAAGGCTTGATTCAAGCTCGTGTGCGCCGGCACCTGGGTGCCCGAATCGTCCGGAAATTGGCTGGCCCGCCTTGCGGGCTAAGTTATGCCAAACTAATCAAGCCCGTGTGCGCCGGCACCTGGGTGCTCGAAAGTCGTCCGAAAATTGGCTGGCTGTCCTTGCGAGCTAAGTTATGCCAAACTTCGGTGCACATACTAGATACTAATCACCAACAATATATAGGGAATTGGCTGGCTGGCCTTGCGAGCTAAGTTATGCCAAACTTCGGTGCACATACTAGTTGATAGGGATACTAATCACCAACAATATATAGGGACTTCACATACTAGAGTTTTCGGTGCACATACTAGTTGATAGGGATACTAATCACCAACAATATATAGGGACTTCACATACTAGAGTTTGAAAATTGGCTGGCCTTGCGGGCTAAGTTATGCCAAACTTCGGTGCACATACTAGTTGATAGGGATATTAATCACCAACAATAGCAAGGCTAAGTTATGCCAAACTTCGGTGCACATACTAGTTGATAGGGATATTAATCACCAACAACATATAGGGACTTCACATACTAGAGTTTGGGTCTTTGGACTCCATAGATTGACAATCATTATTGTGTGGATCATATTTTTTATATTGTAAAATAATGTACATTGTATTTAGAAAATGTGCATTATTTGAGTACTGAAAGTATATTATTTTGTATAATGTACATTCATTACATAAATAATATACATTTTGTATATTAAAAATGTACTTTTTGTTATCGTTCACACAATAATTTGTCATAGACTGGAGATTGGACTCCTTAAGTAGGCGGAAGTGTGAAAATAGATCCCTTGAGTAGAGTTAATGATGACATTGACTAATTGAGTGGTTTCTTGGACAACTCATGATTTAATTAATCTAGCAATTCTTGGCCCTTGGGTTGTACATATATTATTATAGATGATATAACTATTATTTGTGTGTAATCATTTCATAACTATTAATTTAATTGTAGATAATATTTTAATTAAATTTCTATGAGTAGTAAATTAGGTGTGTAGTACATATATTATTTGTGTATATATACCAATATATGTAGGT